CCCCAAAACCCCAAAACCCCAAAACCCCAAAACCCCACAATGAAAACTGTAATAAGTATAGTGTAACAATCAAATGATATATAAACTTCAATTTTAAGTTTACTATTTGAGATGGAGGTTGATAGGCCAGTATTGTGGGTTTTAACCTAGAATTGTATTGATATCCTCTTCCATATTAAGTACAAATTACTGCTGATTGTCTCTTTCAATCTATAAATAGTATCTGGCTCTATCAATTTTATTGATTTTAGCGTGTCTTAGCAATTTATCCAAGAACTAGTGAACTGGAAGACTATCTGATGTATTAATAAGACAGTCATAGTAACTCCATGAAGGATAATCTCCAGCAGGCAAAAATATCTTGAAATGGCAATTTTTGTTTTTATCCACACCTTTTATCCTCAATGCTGAGAACTTACAAGATTTTTACTTAATAGTTCCTCCTTCTCTTACACTTTAATTATGATTATTGTTTCTTTAACTTATGCTCCTACTACTAATGCCACCCCCTTCTTAAGACCTCTTTGTTAGTTTCTCAAAGTAATCTCCTGCGTATGTGTTCTAGTACGATATATTGCTCGATTAATTATGTATTGTAGTTATTGACTGATTGTGATGAGGAGTGAACCTATAATCCACATGAAACATCTATTGTTAAAGTTATTACTAATTATTCTCCTTTCTTTATGCATAGGCATAAAGATTATTTAAGTTTCTATTACTTATCTAAGGTTTTTCAAAGCTTGAAACCTTAAACCTTTTAGAATCGGCTTGTTTATTTTCGCTCTTACTTACAATACTCATATTTTTGCTATTTTAATAGCCAGTAGTTGGTGTTGGCATGAATAGCTGCTCTTGACCGTTTTCTATCTAGGATCCATTGTAGATGTTCTAAAGATTACTGAAAGAGTAGCGTTTTTATTAATTAAGATTTTGCATTTTTTATCTTAGAGGAACGTTAAAATGATGCTGCGTATCTTCACTGAGAAGATTGTGAGTTATTTGCGAGTTATCATTTTATTCATGGATTGAACTCACAGATGCATTAGATCTCAATGCCTTAGAGGACTGATCCTTGTTTAGGTATTGAAGTTATTAAGTTCCTCTATCACTAAAAACCTAAGAGTAATCATTATTTGACTGAATATTAGGTTCTTAAGAGTATCTAATCTTTGGGTCCTAAGACATTCTATATCCTGGCTCGTAAGACTGTCTATGTGTGCTCAGATCTCTATTACTTTGAGTCTGTACTTAATTAGAGAGTCTATTCTCAAACCCATTACCTTTTTCTAAAGCCTTATTTGTGAATTTTAAGTGCTAATCTTAAATCATACTTATGTTATTCTCATAGGCATCAATACTCTGTCTATAAATAGCCTCTTTCGATCTATCAAGAGCACCAATAAGTTAATCTAGCTTTTTCTCATTTAGAATAATCTTTTTAGCGTATTCAGCTTCTTTCTTTAATGTTCTAAGTTGCTTACTAATTGATCTAGCTTACTCATCTAGCTCATTTCTTTCAAGAGTTCTTCTTGAGTTCTGAGAATGAGTATCGCTAATAATTATTTCAGGTACCCTCAATTATTATTTTTAAGCTTACAATTCTCTAGCCATCCTTGCATCTAAATTGCACTAAACAGATTTATCAATGATCAAGTTTTATGTTCTGTGATTCAATGCAGAATCGTAATCTGATTGTGAAACTATCATGTAATCATAGTGAGGCATTTCCAAGTTCTAGAGACTTTGATCTACTTCTCTTTAATTCTCTTAATTCTGAAACTTATCCATAATCTTATCAAATTCCTTTATCATATCTGGATAGTATTATACAAATTTAGTCTTCTTTTCCTTTTAAATTTTTAGCTCTATGATTTAGCATAAAGCCTCTAATTCTTAAGTTCTCTCTGTTTGTTTTCTATAGTGATCCTCAAGTATTTTTTCCTGGTTAGATTCATTTGAGAATATTTCATCCATAGCCTTTTCAAGAAATTCGTCTAGTTTAAGAACAAGCATGTGATGTCTAATTTTCAACTCAGATATTAGATTGTCTTTATTGTTCTAAAGCTATGATCTCATATTTTGAATGTACTCGCTTTAGGTCTGACTCTTTTAAAGTTCTATCAAAATAGTGTCTAAATACTTCTTTGTTGAGTTAATTCTCCTCTAATAAAGCATGTTAAGATTCTCATTGAACTCTTAATCACTTAAGGCTAATGATTCTTGGAGAGCTCTCTACTATTCATCATCGATTTCACTTTAACATTCATTATCATTAATATCTTCATCATTGAAATCTTGCTCTTCCTCCTCCTCAATATGATTATCATCTTCAACTGTGTTTAAATCTTCCTCATATTGATTAAAATCTAGTTATCTATTGAAATGTTGATTTTCTTAAGAATTATGATCATGTTAATACTGAGGATGGTATTGATTGTTAAAATTATTAAATTGGTTTATCTATGATTGATTCATCATTTAAGAGTTAAGTTCTAATTGCTGAGAATCATGAGATTATGTCAGAAACTCATAGTTATCATTATAAAGTTTAGAACAACTATTATCATTTTCAATCAATTGATCTGAAGCATTACTTGTTCTACCATTGATTCTGAAATTTTTAACATATAAGCTTTTCTGTTAACTATTCTTAATATCATTTATATCTTATGACAATCTGTTTCTGTTTGAATTATAATCTTCACTAGGAGTCTCAGATATAGGAAAGATGCCATCACTTTGAGGTTCAGTTCTTCCACCTGCTCCAGTGCTATAAACATTTATATTATCCTTTTAACCCTCAACTTTACTGCCATAGAGTAATTTTTCCTTTTCTCTCATTATCTGTAATTCCTGCTATTTCAGAAGGTTGAAATGTCTATATTGACTATCGTTTGATGCCATGTGATTTGAATTAATAGAGCTTTAGTGGCCATTAGAAAGATATACCACTCCATCTTAGCTTTGTCTATTGAAATCTTGATTCCCACTTAATCTTTTAATTTAATAGTAATGACTATCTCTGTCTGGAGATACCATTACATTCGACTGCATTTAATCTAATATTTACAATCCATTGCTCTAAGGATAGAAATCTGCAGTTTCATAAACCTGAGAGTGTACGTAATTATTGTTGTGATTGGTATTATTATTAGTGTGGGTTGAGCTATTGAAGCCAGTGCTAAGTTGTCCAATACCTGCTCCGTTAGGTTATTGATTTTTGTTTGCCAAAATATTACTTGCATTTTCATTTAATTATCTTGCAGAAGACATTTGAAAATTTATGCCAGATCCCTGTGATCTATTTGAGTAATTGACATTTGGCGAGTGAATTGGTTGACTTTGAGTGTAATTAATTGGAGATGCCAATTGAATCTATTTCTTTTATTCCTGATTTTTTGAGCTTCCAAAATTAGCATTGTTACGATTTTCTTGATCATGAGTAACTTTGGGATTTGAAGGAATATAATGGGTATATGATTGCCTGGAATCACCGTTCTTTATATTCAAGTTTTTAGATAGCTTGGCATTTAGGTTTTGATTCATCGATGCATGTGGTTATTTCATTTTTAAAATTTAAACTGATAATTTAAATTCAAAATCTTGCAGCTACTTTGACTAACGGGGTTTTGGGGTTTTGGGGTTTTGGGG